ATACATATAAATTTTACAGAACAGATTCTATTATAAATCCTACCAAATCCATAGCCAAATCCATGTCCATATCCATGTCCATATCCATGTCCATACCCTCCATACCCATGTCCATATCCTCCATAAAACGGGAATCTATATCCATAGTGATATGGATAGTAACCATATCCGTATCCTAAGTATCCCGGTTTTGCAACAACCACGCCGATTGCAACAGCCAAGAGCAGAACAAGGTACTGTAAAGCGAAAACTAGAGATTAATTTAATTAAGAAAATTAAAATTAAAATTAAGAAAATTAAATTAAAATAAGAAATTAAAAAATTGAGACAGTCAAGTCACTAATTTTATCTTTATTTTTTATAATGTAGAAAGAATTTTAGAAACATACGTAACAGTGATTATAAAAAGCTTATCCAAATTAATGGCACGATAATGACACTATTTCATATGCATGATTTTACTTGTGTGAGTGATAATAATAAAATAAATTTCACTTTAATAACTGATATATTGCCATTGCATAATGTCCAAATTTCATTACAAACTCATTATTAAAAAATACATTATTACAAATTTCATCATAATATTTTATGATTTGCGAAAGAATAATGCCGCAATAAGTCAAATTACTTGACTTCTAGAACAATTTTTTATTCAAGTTCGTCGCACTTACGATCTTCAAGCACGCCATTCTTTCTCGTATTTGCAATTGTTGTTTGTGGCCCAACTGACGCCGTACTAACAATCGCACCGATTTTTTCTCATCTGTCGTTGTCGAACACCACTGTCTATCGTTTCTGCGACACAAGTGCTTTTATAAGAAAGGCGGGGTCCCTTCGTAAGGCGCGGTGGACCCCCCCACGAGAGCGGTACGTTTTTCCAGGTCCCGCTCTGGCCTCCGTTGTGCTAATAGGAAACTTCATTGTTACCCTGGGATTATGCGAATTGCGATTTTGCATTATGAAAGAACCGCGAAAGACGCGGCGATGTGCAGTAACGCACCTGTGACGGGATCGCATTAGTCCACGCCCGATGGGCGCCTTGACATCCAAATTTCTTCTTCGACGCGATTGCTCGCGTGTGTCCGCGGCGCCGTAAACCCCTCATTACAGCAGGAGAGAATCATACGTCGCAACCGATTGCGATACTTAATGCTGCAATCGCTAATCGCTTATCGTCGAACATTAATTCCTGGGTCCACCGGTGAATCCCAACAACAGGCCTGGAGGAGGAAACGGTCTTCTCCCGAGTATCGTAATCGAAACAGAAAGAAGACGACGATAGATGACATTTATGCTGGTCGACAATTACGTAATCCGGGATTCTGTTACAAAATGTGAAATTATGTTGATAGACATCCGCGCGATTGAAATGTGTGTGTCTGATTTGTCAATTGCGTGGCGACATTCTTAGCAACACGGAAAAAGGCATAATTTTATGTCCAAATTATTAATGAAATATTGAAAATAAAGAGCCTCGAGAAATTTATTATCTATATAATACCTAATAATTAAATAGAGATGTCAGATCGATTAAGTGTTTTGAAAATTAAATGTGTATAAAATATTAATATATGTGAAAATCATCATTAATAGAATGTCACAAATTACAATGATTGCTTTGTATAAAGGGGGAGGGAGGGAATACATGATATATGAATTAGCTTCATTAATTTAACATGTAACATAGAATTAATTAATTCAACAGAATCTCAATTTCTCGAGAATGTTCTGTCTTTCTTTTATATTCCTGAATTCATTTTTATCAAATGCGATGTATCTTTTGAGTCGTCTTATCAATCATGTCTCAACAGAACACATTGTAATATACAGTTTGCATAATCATAGTTTCGCATAATAATGACATGGTTAACAGAAGATGTTGATATATCATATTGAGTAATTCTAATTCTATTCATTCTTTTATAGAAAGTTACCTAAATGTAAATATTTCAAGTATTACTCATATTGATATTTTGATATTTTACAAAAAAAAATAGATGAACTATCATTAAATATATATTAATATATATTAATATATATTAAATTTTATTTTTCTTCTTCAATTAATAACGTATAAAAATTCTGCTATTTCAGTATTCTATCCTTACAGAATTAATGAGAATGTAATTAACAGCTATATTTCCGTCGATTGAAACATAATCGGTATGAATATTCCTCGATTATCTTTGTTTTTATCGGAAATACGATTTTCTTTGTTACATTTACCTTCACGGTCGATTTTCCATCGCCGATTTATTTTCTGTTCTCAGCAAACGAGATTGGATCTACAATCAATACAATCGATAACAGCGAAGGATTTCTTATGTGTTACGTAAATTGTTATGCATTTACCTTGAATTAAGTGCTATAATAATCTACTTTTATGAACTTCTTGCAGTCATATGGGGAATATAAAAAAAATTTTTTCATTCGAAATAACTAATTTTAATTAACAAAAATAACATTAAACAATTAATATATTGAAATAAAAATATTAAACATTCTGCAATATTATATTTATAATTATTAGAGGAAAATTACGATACTGATTAATAAAGTACAATATTCAATGGTATCTCTTTAAGATACCATTGAATATTACCATTAAATAAGATACCATTGGATACTTTATTAATACTGATAAAAGCATGATATGTTTAAATGATTAAAGAAATAAAAACTCGTAATTCTCGTATATTTGTGATCTTTTTTTTTATAAATATCATCTAAAATCGAATTCTATAAATGTGAAAGTAAAATTATTTCGATTTTCTTTCATAAATTGTAGTTTAAATAATAATAGATATTATTAATAATATTAGTATTCGTAGTTTCCCAAATCTGTTCTATTTTTATACTTTTTTCTTTCTTATAATATAAAATATGAAATTAGAGTGCAGCCTAAAAATCGACACACACATTTATGAAATAGACTATAAGCTAACTTAATTTTAATATAGTGTTATAGAATTAAATAATCCTATCGGAGCTGAAAGCGAGCTTATATATATTTATAGAAAAATCCTCCAAAAAGAAAAATTGCTTCGTTATATGTTATCTTACATAACAGCATAAAATATAATTAACAAGAAATATAATTAATAAGAAAACACTTTATATCGAAGTAAAAAGATTCTAGAAAATCAAATTCGATAAAGAAAGCCAAGATCAAGTCAAAGTTCGATGTTTTACATTAATTTGTAATACATTGTAATACATTAAATATATTAAATTAATTTATTTCAGATATGATTGAGACCCGAAAAATTTTCGATTTCAACATAATTATTTTGAAATGTTAATAATCCCCTCTTAAATTAGAATAGAACTGAAAATTTTTCGGTTCTCAATCATATCTGAAATAAATTAATATAAGAACATTTATTAATATTATATAAAACATCCAATTTTGACTGATCTTGGCTTTCTTTATCGTATTTGATGTATTCTGTCAGTTTGGAATCCAGTTTTGTCATGCTCATTTTGATTATTTTACAAAAACAATTAATTATTGCAAAATTATAAATAGTATTATAAAAACTGTTATCTGATAGGCGACATTTTTCAATATGTATTTATGTTTCTATTTTTAGCTTACTCTATTTTTGTTTAAGAAATATTGTTAAGAAACAAATTGCATGTTTATTTATATTCATAAATTGTGTTATTTTGTTAAACAATGTTGAACATCAAGTTAACGCAAAATATTCAAATGACACAATCACATTATGTCACATTAACACTCGGATATGTTAAAAATTTAATGCAAAAATTTAACAACTATCGATTTTAATGTTTAATAAAAAATGTTTTTGTATGTCTTGTTAACGATTTTCTTTTCATGCAAGACACGGATACAACTAATTGCATGAAAATTAAATGTCTCTAACTTTGCGTGTCTTGCATAATCGCATTTTGTACTGTCATTGACGCGACGTATATGCAAAATCATATAGAGGCCACGAAAATTACTGGACCATGCACGCTACATACATTATTGTTAGAAACAAAGAATAATTGTGTATATAAAGGCCGACAACCATAATTATGAGAACATATTCTATATCATAATCCTGAGAACATCGTAATGAAAACCGATGATAAGTACGAATGTACGTGTCGCGCAGCGTCTATAATTAGTGAGCTTATTAGTTATCGACTTATCTTTCTTACAGTCAAAGGTAGAAACGCCATATATCTGCAACAATCAGATTTTATAACATCTTTCTGCATATGTATTAGTTTTATAATTTATTTTTAATGAGATACATAATTAATAACTATCAGCAACTAACTAATAATAAATGTTTCTTAAAATTTAAAAGATCGAAGAAGTTCTTTATATATGCTGCTCTTAAAATATTATATAAATATATTATTAACTTTAATATATTCCTCATAAATTTTAAGCTTATACGAGTCTTTCGTGCGCACTTAAAATTATATATCCAATATTTTCTTCAATTTATTATTTCTTAAATTTTCTATTTTACAAGCAGAATGCTTCCTAGAAAGATTTTTAAGAAGATAATACTTTGAAAAGTTTTTCATATTACATTGCACTTTCTTCACGTCTTTTACTATAATATATTGTAATTTTAATTTTAATATTGTAATTTTAATTTAATTTTTTCTGTCAAGTTTAAGATTAATATTTTAGGAAATCAGATTCTCCGAATCTCAAAATTAATCAATTTGATCTGCTTCAATTCCTTTCGTCCCGTTGGCGTTGTCTTGTATCGATTCGAACTTGGAGCCGGTGCTATCTCTTCGTCGTGGAGCGCGGTGATTCGTTCGGGAGCTTCATTCTCCATAAGTTCAGCAGGTGCTTCCGTTGTCTCGGCCGATTCACCTGAATCGGCGGGTTTGCCTTTTGGCGGGAGATATTTCTTACCGTGAATGAAAGGCCCGTAAGGATGATGGAATGGAAATCCAACTAGATACGGATCGGCATATATTGGATAGCCAACGTGGCCAACCCCGACCACAGGGCCGCCCTTGAATCCATGGAAGTGGTCGTACGGCAGGAGGGGGAAATCGTGGGGGTGAAAAATCCCCAGTAATGGCTTGACCCAAGGGGGCCCATAAGGAGGCGAGTATCCGTTTTTTGTCGAGTTATTCTGGTCACCATTCTCAGCCGGTTCTTCGGTTTGTCTGTTGTCATTATTATTGTTGTTGCCATTATTGTTGCCATTATTATTGCCATAACCGTAACCACCGTGATTGTAACCATAACCACTGTGTCCATAGAAATCGGGTCCACCGTAAGGTCCGTAACCGTGATGTCCATAGTGTCCGTTTCTAGAAGAATCATTTCCGTTTCTCTGATAGGGTCCATAGAAGTCGTGATGACCGTATCCATCATAGGGAAATGGGGAGTAGGGATGATGGTGGCCGAAACCATAACCTCCGTAAGGCGAACCGTAATCTCCGTAATTGGTCCTGTTCTCCAATCGCGCGTTCTCCTCCGTGCCCGCCTCTTCCGAAGATCCATCTCCATATGGATGATGATGATGATGATGATGACGATGATGGCCATATGGTCCAAAACCTCCGTAGAAACCTCCGTAAGGTTTATCCAAGAAAGGTCCATGAGGGAAGGCTGCCTTGGGAAAATTACCATGATAAGAAAGATATAAATTGGTGGACGATTCCTGAATACGACCAATATTGTCGCTAGATTTTGGAGCTGCGTCAAGATTATCCTTATTTATGGAAAAATCGTAAGGTTTGTAATAGTTCGATTGTTCTTGGCGTAGGTAGGAACCATCTCGTAGAGATCCATCGAATCGTTCATTCGTTTCGGATCCCTCTTCCGGAGAATCTTCGTACACTCCATTGTAAGGATAAGAGCGTGGTTCGTAATAGGTAGCCGCGTTTGATGTTTTTGTATCGACTATATTATTCAAGATTGAATGTGAATTCAAGTCGTTCAGGTTGGCGGATACCAGGGTTGATTGGAAGGACGATCGATTATTGCGGGATTGCACATCGCGCAAGATGACTGGCGACAATACTGAAGCTACATTTTTAGCGAAATTTGCTAGGATATCCGGACCTATGTAAAGAGAATGATAATTAAAATAAAGAAAGTTCTAAATTTAATAAAAACGCATTGAAATGCTAATTTCTTTCTTTCGTTAAATAATCTTTTATTTATTAATGATCTTTACAAAAAATTACTTAATAGAAACTTTCCGTAAACTATAATAATAACTTTTTTATTAATAAATAACAGCTTTCAGAGAGAAATACGTTTTTTTACATTATATCTCTTCGTCTTCGAATTTTGGTCTGTATAACAATAATTATTAGAATATATTGTTTTGCAAATTCAACATTTGTAAATGATTGTTCAAAATGATTGTAAATTGTTAGGTTATTTGCGTATAAATATAGAGTTTGTGGTTATTTACATACAAATATCGAGTATCACGTTACATATTACTATTATACATTCAACATTTCTTGTAAATGATAAGCTGTTTATAATTAATAAACTTTAATTTGTTTTTAATTAATAAATTTAAATAAATTTTGAGAAGAAATATTTCATGCTTACTGACTGCGGTTCTTGCAGCTTTTCCATCATTTATTACGCACCAAAGTGCGATGTAGTACAACAATATCTGTAAGAAAAAAATTTGATATTAGATTAAATACACAGACTTACACAAAATATAATTGTAACAATAATAAATTAATAAATAATAATTTTTAAATAATAAATTTTAAATAATAAATAAATTTAAATATTTAAACTTTAATAGTTTATTAAATAATTATTATATTAATAACTGTTAATAACTGTTCAAAGAATTTTTATTTTACTTACAATGCATTTGCTAAAATTCATTGTATTTTCAATTTCAATTATTTTGTAAATATAATTGCTTTTATTTGCAATGATAAGAAATACATTGACGCTTGTAATTTTTAAGAAATATAATAGTTTTTATAATAGTTTTTTTAATGGTAAGAAAGATATTGACACTTGTAATTTTTAAGAAAAATTTAACGATAAATGATTACCTCCTTGATTATTTTTCAAAATTTCTAAGATAAAAGAACAGCAACAATAATTATATTTTAGATGTAAAAAATTACGAAAATTTACTTGAATATAATTAAGGTAACTGAACGGTCTGCGATGGGCTATATTCGAACATGAGATAATTTAAGTATAGTGGCGTTTGGTATCCGGAATTTCTCGCAAAAAATGCTATGAACTGCGTAACGTACGACGACACGTATAGCATGACTGGCTCGATACTTCTCATAGAATTATGTTTTATTTGCTATTGCGTAAAGAAAGACGCATATGCATGTAAACGACGATCAACGCATCGTCGTTCCAGCAGAAGGTTTTGCAAAATCTCGGCAAAAAGCTCTGACGTACACGCACAAATATCAGTTCTAGATATACTTATTACGTCGTCTCGTCGCGGAACTTGATTCTTATAATAATAGAATCGAATCGGTTAGGACTGTGTGGTCACATCGATTGCACTTCCGCGATGTAAACACATATTGCTGAAAAACTGTTCAAGTATATGGAACTTTCGGTAAAGTTATTTTCCGACCAGCACCGATAATTTTGCAAAATAAATAAAAATAGTTTCTGAGAAAGTAATTAATAAATAATAATTTCATTATCTTTAGAAAAGTCTCTCGAGAAGAGAAAGTAACAGAATTAGTAACGGAACTTGTAATAGAAAATTTTCTTCTGATTTATGTAAGACTCGTATGAAGATATTATTATGTTTGTAAGAATGTTTTACCGGCTATTACTTCTTACCCATTATTTTATAAAATACATAGTTATAAAGGAATAATTTGAAGACATATTTTTTAATGTATCAACATGGATAACTTCCTGCATACTGTGATATTAATATAAAAATGGAAAGTTTACATCATTTTAATGTAGGTAACATAGAATGACATGACTTTCGCTGTATACTGCGATAGAATAATATAAAAATTAGTTTACGTCATAATACTTTTTACTAAAAATTGTTATATCTTATTTTACTGTCAATTTTTTTATTTATAAAACCTAATCATCGAAAGACTCTGGAGAAGAAAAAGAAAAAGAAATGTAATTTATTAAAAGAAGATGCGAAGATGTAATTTCTGTTATATAATAATCGTATATATGTAAAATAAGCAAGAAATGAAATGTCAAAAACTTCGCTGCACAAGAAATAATAATGTATCGTCTATTCAGCACATCTTAAAAGGAGATTAAATCTCCATTCATGCGTGTTCATTCACAAGATTGATTTTTGCGAAAAACATGCTCTACATGTGCTCGTCTGCATTTTTTCTGGCAACATTAGTAAATCATCGCTAATGAGATCTGAAAAAGACATCTCTAAATATTCTGGGTGAAATTGCACATTTCAATAATTTATAATACGTTATAGATGATTATAAGATTTTTATATGACATATTTGTGTTTCTTGAATTAAAACGAGAATGCCTTCAAATTGTGAACATAATTTACTGCATGATGTAAACATCCAAGATGTGCTTATATTTAAAACTAAATTTCCTACGATGATAATATAAGCACATAATTAAGTAAAAAAAATAAGTAAATAAAAAAAATAAAAATAAAATAAGTAAAAATCAAATAAATAAGAATAAGTAGATAAAAAAAGTAATAATATAATTCAAATCGTCGCGCAAGATGGTGATATATCTGGCATTAATTTCTCATTGGCTAATTACATATGTGCACGCGTAAGAACATATGAAATTATTACACCATAATCTACTGCAGCTGACGACAATAATGAAATTGCAATTTTTTTTAGGCAGTCAACATATGTGTTTTTAAATTCTTACTTATTTCACATGTTTGATCTAAACGTATTTTATACTCTTACCCATATTTAACATATATATCATAAGCTTTATATATTTTTACGTATATAAATACATGATATAAATAAACAGTCACTAATAAAATGTAAGAATTAAATAAATTGTACTTTCCTATTACTTTGTTTTTAATTAATAAATGCAAGATTTAATAATTAATTAAATAAGTTGTAATTTTTTTATAAACTGTGATATCGCAAATTTAACAAGATTAGGTTAGATACAAATTCTTATGTAATATAATTTATGTTATGCGTTATAATATAAAGAGCAAATATACCGCAAATATATCGAGAAAATAAAATATTTATAATATCGTCATTAATAAATTCACAAATGATTCACTCCGATTATTATATTACGCCGATTGCAACAAATTTCCCGCGTACTCAATTATAAAAAAAATACAAACGGTAAATATTTTGCAGTTGACACTTCACACAAATCTATTCGACACGTAGCAAATTTTTATTTTGCAATGATTTATTACTACGGATCATTATGAAATTGCAATTTTGTTACTTTTCCCTGTATGACCAATGGCTTTTATGCAAGGATACTCACGTGTGACGCGTAATGCATCGTGCATGCGGCTCTTGACGACTAAGGGACAGACATCGTGACCGATGTCATTTATACTTTCTCTCCTTTAAACGCCTTTTACCCTCGATACTATGAGTGAGGGTGTAAAGAGTGGATCATGTAGTCTTTATATGTTTCGATCGTTTCGAACATGCAAATTAAAAGCTTTATCGAATTTATAAGCAAAAGAATATATAATGTTAAGTTCTGCTTGCAGATTTTGACATTTACAAAATATTCATTAATCGGATTTTTATATTTGATATATAGACGAATATTCAGAGTTCTTTTTGAAGAAGGGGTTTATTAATTCTATTATCACATAAAGTTTAAAATATCTTCTTTAATGATTTGGAAAAAATATGAGATTTTTTAATCGTAATCTTTAATTTTTTTCTAGAAAGAAATATAAACAAAATACAGTTATAAAAAATAAAATGTATAGTTGTGAATAAAACTCTATCAAGTTCTTGTCCATTTCCTACATAACATTACTACTAATAGAAAAAACAGTAATATTAGACATTTCTACCAATTAATCATATGGCAATAATTTTAATGGCATACAAATACAAAAAAATGCGTAAATACAAAAATGTATCACAAAGTTTCGGTCTTTAACTAAAACATATAAGAATATATTTTTAAATAATGTATATTATTACTCATAATTACGAATAATTTACGTGAGGACCGTGCAACTTTAATTTCAGCATAAATTAATTCGGTGAAAATCACAAACTAATAATGCATTAATCAATTATTTCTACTTTGTATCATAATGGATATCATGCTGTAGGACGTAACTTTACGATGTGGCTTAATATACGTTCTTCGTCAAGAGTTTCACGATGAGGAAAGAGAAGCTCGAGTGACTGATGTAGCATTTGATGATTGATGAAGAGATCGTTCTAACAGGCTGGCAAACTAATAGCCGATCTGGCTGATCCTGCCGACGATACCGGGGGCGATGACACCAGGAAGATTATAAATTTGCACAGGTCGAGGGGAAATTCCCACTAGTCGGGTTGCTCGGAAATTCGGCGTGATAATTACGGGCCGTTGAGTGCTGCTCAGAATGTCAAATTGTCTGGCTTGAGTATTAATCTGCTTATATCCTGGATACTTGGCGAGCATGCCGCTCACGCTTCCGTAAGGAATTCCACCTGTTGAATGAAGCAATTGATATAATCGTAAAGCCTATACAATATTTGCAATTAGGCCCTAAAAGATTTATTAAATTTTAATACATATTTCTAGCACTAACTAAATAATTAACGTTTACTTATAATAAATAAATATTTATTCAATAAAAAAATCAAAAATGATTTTTATATTAAATAAATAAATATTTATATTTAGTAAACATTTATTTAGAACTATTTAAACAAATATTTATTAAAATTTAATCTTTTTTCAGCTATAATGTCCAATAAGTCAAGTATCTTGTCAAGTGAAAGGAAAGAAGATTAATTTAGTAATCAATAATCACCAGTGCTGCTTTCTATTGGAGCCTAATCTAAATCGTATTTAAAGACAGAAAATAAAGATATTTTCTTTATAGCAATTTCTATTATTTTAGAGTTTATCGAATGAATAAATTATAGTCTATCACAAAAATTCTTAAAATATTGAAAGAAAAAATTGGAAAGTTAAAAAACAGAAGTCTGACTTACCGTATGCCAATCCATTCACCATTTCCACTATCCCTGCGCTGTCTGGTGCTGCTGTCGATAATTTAAAAAACGCTATAAGTCCAAATATCAAGGTGACCTAAAAATCACATATCAAGAAATCATAATAAAATTTGGAGACTTGAATGCATGTTTGAGAATATTTTTATGTAATTGCTCACTAATGAGGACAAAATAATACAATGTACATAATGTATTCAATATATTTTATAAAATAATTTGCTTCTATTGACAAAAAATTATATAAATTATATAAATATTATACGGAATTTTCTATAATTTATATATATATAACTTTTGCATAATAATTTTATGAGAAAAATCTATTATTAGATGGCATTAAAATTAATTACATGCATTCAATTATTATGGTTGCAAATATTATTAACAGTTTATTATTTTATACTCTGCATATTTCTTCATATAATTAATTAAGAATTATAATAAATTGAGTTCGTCATAAGTGCACATTTTTTCATTTATATAATAATACTCCAACTTAGACAGTTTAAAAACATTATTTAAGCGATTATTCATAAATAAGTAAACAATATTTTCTATAATTATATGATCACTGTCAATAATTTTATCAATTAATAAATAAAATAAGTAAATAAAATATTGCGCAGGCAATATGACTTTGAAATTGATTGCATTAAAACAGACAATCGTGTATAGAAAGTGTGTCGTACAGTTTTTCGTTTGTTTTCATTTGTTGCACAAATCTGCAGTTCTTAGATATTTATGTCAAGTAGTATTTATTCCTAAATCAAACAATGTCAAACAGATCTTACAAAATAAATCGTTTCATAATTATCATAAACTCATTTTTATTTCTATTAAAATGTTAGTGATGATAATTTTAATTGTGTAAAGTAACCGGATCTTATATGACCTAATATTGAATATATGACCTCAATGTTTGTAAGTAATTACATGGTGAACTCAATAGATAACACTAATAAATCTACAAATTGTCTATCTTGATTGTATTATTGTTCAGTTTATTGTTCATTTTATTATTTTCGATAAAGCAAAATACAGAACGTAATACTTCGTAGATAAGTAATTGCTTTCTATATATAACTACTTACTAATGTCTGTTTCTACCGATGCAGTATTAGTAATTTTAATCTCGGTTCAACTAACTCTTTATCTTTTTCTAGTTCTAAGAATAAAAACAACAATAAATCAACATCGGTAGATGTCTATCAACACTAATTTGTATTCATACAAAAAAAGTCTTGTTCATATTTAAACTATCCACGTATAATAATTTTCTACAATGTAAAATGTAATCACATCATATCATATCATATCGTATTCACTTAATGTAATTCAATATAACAATTCAATATAATAATTATAATAATTCAATGTAACTGCAATGTAAAACATCCTATTAAGCAACTATTTAATTCGGTATTTCTTATACAAATAATCCGAACTGTATTTAAAAAAATATTCAACTCGTACAGTTTTATAACTTTGTTATAACTTTGTTATAAAACTTAGATATTTCATCATTAAATCTTAGATATTATCTTCACATAAAATTTGAAAACTCACATTCCGGCACATATAGGCGAGACCACTCCCGAGATTACTATAATTAATTTATTCACCTGGGCGTTCACGTACCTTGGCGGGCAACATGTCGCCGTTTCCAATAGAACACAACACGTACTAAACGCGTAGGCAAAACTAGAATACAAAGGCAAAGATTGAATTATATACACGTTGCGTGGCGTGCCGCGTGCGCTAATGTTGGCCAATCATTGGCGTTTCCTTTCGATCGCGCCCGCTTTATTCTTCTGTCTACAGGATTTTATCGAACTACGAGGATATCTGTGGGGTCCGCCTTGGGGCACTTTAACCTTGGGGCACTGCAACCACCTCTCACATGTGACGTACTGACTTCTATCCTATGCACCAAGGACCATGTTTCTCGTGAGTATCTTCTTATCATTGTGTGCTATGTCGCGGTTTTAACAATACTGATGATGCATGTCCTTGTTGAATGACAAATGACAATGATGTCCTTTTAGATTGAATTAATAAATAGGAAGAAATGTAAAAATTACTGATGATGATAACGCGCTACAAGTATTGCTCGTAAAAATCGTCAACAAAATCTTCCGCCGAAGATCGATGATAGAAGGTGGCAAAATTATTAAATTGTTAATATAATGATAACGAATAAGAAAGAATAAAAATTGATATTACTTCAAAATCATAAAAATATGTGAATTAATTAAATTGGTTACTTAGACGCATTGTGACTTTGGTATTACGCGTAATTGTTCTAAGTTTCCCACGTTAATAGATTGCTGCAGGATAAAAGCGTTATAGTAGATAACAATTATTAAAATGTCGCTTATTAAGCTGCGCGAAAAGATTATCGCACTCATACGAAAAATAGATCAAGGGTATCCGCTCTTGAAGACAGTTAATGATATTACGTAACAAGATTAATAATCCAGCAGACTCACGAATCGCTGCGTTTGTTATGATGATAAATATTGCTGACAAGTATTGCAGTTACAAAAGAGAAAGCGGTAAAAAAATATTAATTTAATGAAAATTATGCTTAATCATCCAATAACTATTGTAATTATGAAAAAAATAATTGAAAGAATAATAAAAAAAACTCAATTAAAGGAGTCTTTAACGAGAGAAAACTGTTTTGTTGAATGAGTTCTTAAAGTACTAAAGTTCTTAAAGTATTAAAAGATTCAATAAAGTAAATATAAAGTAAATTAGCATATCTTTATAATTAAAATTAATATTTTATACATCGAATATTTTATATATCGAATAAAATCGATATAAAATTATCATAGAAAAGGTTCTTTCTTTCTCTACTTTCTTTCTATTTTGTTTCGTGTAAAATATTGCATATTATGATTAAACTTATTTTAACAAAATTTGCCTTTTATTGGTTATTTTTATCTCTGATCTTATAAAAACGAAGTATTGTAACAACGTCACATTATAATAAATTTATATCATTTATATCATGTAGTATGATTATAAATGATATATTTCTCTAAGAAAGATTTTAACTGAGATCAGCATAAAATTCGCGAAAGCGGTCGAATTATATTATATTATCGGTTAGAAAAATTAAAAATTAAAAAGATAGCAATTATTGCTGACGTATTGTAAATTTGTGAACAAGTAAGAAATTTTAACTTTCAATAAGGCTTCTTTTTGTTGTCACAAACAGGAGATATAATTTCTCTGGTGATTCGCATCATGATACAAATAGTAAGTCGCGCAACAGTTGCGCCGATGAAAAGAATGGATATAGTTTCGAATAGGACATTATGTAATCCTTCTGTAACATTTATTTAACAAAAATATTCTAGACTATATACAATAACGTAATTAGAGGTCGGAAAAAATTATTGCAACACTCTTGATTGAATCGCGTCTAATCATCCGCATCTAAATGCGCTTTCTCTAAAACAAAAATTAATTAACTAAAAAATGCTATGATAATTATTGCAAACATTAAAAATATCGTGAGTATTGAAATAAACTCAAGTGCAAGTGTTTGAAGTTATTATCTTTGCGTCATCCAAATAAAATACAAAAGTCATAATAATATTATAATAATATCATAACATTATAACTTTATTTGTCATTTATAAGTTTATTTATAAGTAACAAATGATGTCATAATCACATCCTATGATATCATCACTAACTTAATTATGACTCTGTATTTTACTTGGATACGTTCGCTTTTATGAACATTTCAAGGTGCCTTCTTAAGATTTCTATCTACTACTGTCTCAAATTATGACATCAAATTATGACAGAAGCGAAAAAACACACCAAAATTCTTGCTAATTATATTTGAATAGAAATATTTTTCAATAAAACATTTATGATTTGCAATCAATAAAGCAGATCTGTAAAATATATCGAAAATTATCTTCTTGTTTCGAGGAGAAATTAAGTCATATTTATTTCTATATTATTAAAAGTTTGTCATAGATGTAAAAATAACGCATTTCATTTTTAATTGTACATATATCTGAAAATTTCTTTCCAGATATATGATTATTCATTAATTAACGAAATAAAAGGAGAAATTTCGATATTTTACAAGTCAGTTCGATTATAAATGTTGTTTTATTAAAAATAAAATTTCTATATTAAATAATATTTATATATTAATATTTCTATATTAATATATTTTGCAAAAATTTTTGTTGTACATTTTCTTATTCTTGACATCACAATTTGAGATAGTAATTCTGAATAAATAAGAGACATAATCAGCAGACATAAATCAATTTTTTTGTGTAATATCCTTATGACAACTTTAAATTTTTTATGAATAAATTTTATAAATTATGTGATGTAGAATTTACTTATACATTATTATTAATTACGAAATAAAAAGAAAATTAAAATAAATTTAAAGATTCAAATTAAATTTTTTATAATTATCTAAAAACGGTTTTAAAATTAATTTCGCATATGAATTTACGTAGAAATAAGAAATGTTTTAATTAAACGTAAAATACGTTGGCTCTAATTATTTACGCTCTACGTAATAATACATTCTGCGTTCCGGATCCTTTATAAACTTGGCTTGTAATATCGATTTCTGTTTTTGTCCTTTATCTTCTTTTTCTTCTTTGTCGTCATTTTGAGCTTTCCAGTTTTCAGTTATCCTATTCGATTCACTCTTAGTTTTTTCATTGGTTCGATTTCTTTCGTGATTTGGTTGAATGTTCTGCATTAGATTGTATATTGGGTAGATCTGAAACCATAAACTTTCATGAATAAACCATGAATGAGTCATACTGAGCGCATAATTATATCAATATATTTTCCTACAGTTAGTTTTAATTTAAGTCATTACATACTTAATTTATAGGAACATTATAATTTATAATATTACTTCATGCAAAACATCTTTGGCGAGTGATTACATTAAATATTTTTACATTATATCTGAACAACTTGATTTAACGTTTTCATTTTAAATTAAAATTTCTAAAGGTTTAATACTATATGTGTGTTAATATTAAACTTTACATTGTAATGCTATTCCCGCTGAGTTATTCTTCTTAATTTTAAATGTATTACAAAAACCAGTTTTGCTGTGAAATATCTAAAGTTTAGTTAAATTCAGATCCAAAAATAATTTTGTTGACCTATATCAAAATTATGTACGTTTAAAATAATTTTATTTTTCTTACGTTATTAATCTGTATGCTTCTTATAATATGTTTTATTCTAATTTCAAATTTGTTTGCTAAATTTATGAGAAAAGCAGGATTTTTTAGTAACACTTAAAAATTCTTTGCTTATCCCTTTCTTCTAGATATAAATAAATGATTCATAGAGAATAATTATTAAATTTAACATTCACTCATTATAAAAGACACATAAAGAATAAATTATTTTAATTAAGATAAAAATATTATTGATTAGCAAAATGTAGAAGTTTTTGGAAAGAGATATGTCAGTTATAAAAAATTAGAGCTCGTAAAATAAATTCTGACCTCATTTTCAGAATCAACATACAAAATACAGTCTAAATTATTTAATTAATAAAATTATTATCGATTTCAAATCTATCTAAATTTTTAAGTACTTCAGCAAAATCATTCTTTTTATTACAAGAATATTTTGTCCGAGTGAACAAAGGAGAAAATGAAATTCATGCCTTAATAATCATAATTCTTTGAAATCCAAGACATAGTAGACATTGTGTGTCTCGAACCATATTCGGTCAGCTGAATCGTTCTGTGCTGCGGTGACAAACTTACTTCTGATATCCCAGAGTCACCGTTGTCATTCTCGTCGTTAACAATCCCATCGTAAATCCCGAAATCATTTATCTTCTTAATTTCCTCCTTCTTCATTCCAAAATGTTTAATAGCGTTATCTTTACTTTTTTCTTGAGTCTTATCTAATATCACTGATTTTTTAGTTTCATCTTCATTAGCAAACTTAACTTTATAATCATCTTTTTTATCTTCCTTCTTATCTTTCTTATCTTCTTTTATTAATTCTTTTCTATTATCTGAATCTTCATTATTACCATTCTGTTTATTATCACTTTTTTTGCGTTTCGATTTGATTCTCAGGTTTGATCTCACTGGTGTTTTTTGAACGGATGTTACATTCGTTTTTATGGAATCGAATTCATTGTCTGTTTCTGGATAAGTGGTCTTCGTAACGATCTTTTCCTTTGAGACTCTCGATAGATGCTCGATCGTCCGTGTTTTTGGAGTCGAAGTTTCTACTTGAAAATCAGTCTTGATTGTTTCTGGCGTAGCAATTATTTTCGCACCTTCAGTCTTTTTAGAAAAATCCGATATATCTATTTTCTCTTTCTTTGAATATTTTTTTCTTTGAACGGGTGTAGAAGCTGATTTTTTCGTGCCAAAATTGATACTTGCCGAAGGCGTAGCTGATGTTGTTGTCGAAGTCACAGGTTTCCTGCGCTTTTTATTGATGGACTTAGTAACAGACTCAGCAGATGCATTATCGAGAGAAATCGTAGAGTTATTCTTCAATATTCTTCGTCGACGTTTCTTCTGTTGTCCAGTCGTAGAAAGAACTTCCTTCGTTCCATTAAATAATTTACTCGGCTGGCTGCTTATTATTTCTGTCGATGATTCTGCCTCATCTGAATTACTTCTGTTTAATTTCAGATATTCCACAGGCTGTTCTTCTTTTTCTTTATTAA